ATGTTCTTCCCGATGGAACATAATTGCCATAAGTTTCGAAAAGCAATTTATGAGCTGCAGCTGCAGTTTTTTTCAAGTCAAAGTAATGAAGCAGCACATGTCGAAAAAACAACTTATTACGTTCCATATTTAATCAAAAGAAAAAATAGCACTGCTCGCTTAAATGAATCTCTTTGCACTGAATTTTATTGACAAATGTCTAACTAAAATGCAGTCAGTTTTAGATGTCAAAATAAATTACACCTACAACTAACGTCATCTAACTGTGAGCCGCAGGAACTAAGTTTACCACCTAATATATAACAAAGTAAATGTAAAAATAGTTTGCTGATCATAAGATGGATACAGGATATAGATAGGGGTGACGCAACTCATTATTAGACGCGGGCACTAACATATGTATGTGTGAAGTTGGCACCTCAGTTTTTAGCATCGCAAGTTTTTATGAAAATTCAATTTACACTAACAATAATTCTACAGTTTCTGATAGGTTATATCAATAGTTCTGTCGAAACAGCTATAAAAAGTAAAGAATAAAAATATAAGATGCTAACTTTCCATGGTACTTCAATTTACGAAAAACGTGATTTTAACCATGGGATTTTATAGTTTCAGAAAAGTTTTACAATTTCTGATTAACGGCGGTAGTTCTGGCTTTCCATTACTTTTACATAATTTTTGAGCTCGTCACGCGGATAGACGGAGTATCTTTGTGTGCGTAAGGGGGAAAGACGCTACTATGCCCGGGCACAATTTCTCATCATTGATTGGGCACATGGAACAGGTATGCGCCATTTCTAGGTTGCCAATGCATATCTCTTTCAGACCTCCATACATTCGGTAGTAGCGCTGCACTAGTGCACAAGTTTCGAATGAACGTCTGATTGGTCAATGACTCGTGACTTGTGCAGAACAATGATTAAGGATCGATTGTTCCAATTTCTTAGTAAGTTAACTGATAGTTAAATCATATAAATGTCTTTGTTTTTCCTTCAATTTAAACAAATACAGACATATGATTTAACTATCAGTTGTTAAGATGCAGGAACAATCAGTCCTAATTGAATTTATTAGTAAAAATTACCTATTCTAAGTGCGTGCGTGAATACAAGTAAGAAAAAGATAGACAGAAAAGGAGGGAGGGAGGAGAGAAAAGAGAGGGGTAGAAGGGGGAGAGAGGGGAAGGGGAGGGAGGGGAAAGAGAGAAGTGGGAAAGGGGAGAGAGGGGAGAAGGAGAGAGAGGGGGGAGAGAGACACATAAAGGCAGAACGTGTTTGCATGTGTGAGCGCGTATTATAGTGGTTGTTTTTTGAAATTATTGTCAGTTATAAAAATATTTAGTAACTATTTACGTAACACATAAACTATAGATTTTCATGCTGGGAGTGAATATTGGGACGCAAATTATGTGTAACGATCAATTGGTTATAGCAGACACTGCACGTTAGCGCCCGTGTCTGACGGCGAGTTGCGTCGCCCCTACCTGTCTTTTATAGCCGACTCGTAGGCAAATTACTTTTGCTAATAACTTAAAAAGTAAGCTTCGGATAAAGTTTTTCAAGATAAAAAGTTATTTTAGAATTTTATCAGGATTTTTATTCTTAAGGATAAAAAGTTGTTTTGAATTACCCTGTATACAAGATGTTAAATTCCAACGTAACAGATCGAGTATCTCGAAAAATAAATAATATATTGAGATTAGATTTTTGTAGACTGTACTGGTCAAAGGGGGATACATTTTCATTAAAAAATTGATTTTTTGATGAAGGGAACAAAATAAAACGAAGATCAAAATTTTTTACAAATAGAACTCTAATTTTTTAAATATTTACGTTTGTAGTCTTTGTAGTTTTTGTACGACGAATTCAATGACATATACATATTCAAGGTGATTCGTGGGAAAAAGGATGTTCTAGATTGGCAAAGGCGATCCTATAGATATCCCAGTAGGTAGTATCTGGGATATCGCAAGAAATTGTCATAAAAAATATTATAGCATATCATATTTGCAATATTCTCATGAAGTCTTTTGAACATTCTTCGGATGTCGTCTAAAATATCAAACAAATTTACCTTTTTTAAAAAAAAAGACGAAAAAAGACGCCAAGTTCACGCGCTTGCCTGCACGAGTGGAATTATACAAAAATTAATGTTAAAAAATTAATGCTATACAAAATATTTTATTTGTAAAATAACACATTTAAAAATGTTAATAAGAAATATTGTTGTTTAAATTCTATTTTTTACAAAAAACGTGATATCAGATGGTTAGGCCAAGTGAAAATAATTCATGTGTTTCCTTACATGGATAAAATTATATAAAAGCAAATATGTTCATACATGAAGTATTTCACATACA